GCTCCAATAAAGACCGATTTTCTCTTGTCATGGGGTGGTCGGCGTCCAAAGTGAATTCCTTCAATGATAGAAAATAACTCATACTGCGAGGATTTCCTCTTAGAGGCAGTGGGCACGATTGCTGGAGGCGAGCACACGCGGGGAAACGCCCTCTCGCAGCCCATCCACCAATCACGTGGCGACAACCGCCCGCCTCCAGCAATCAAGTCCACTGCCTTTGAAAAAATGATCCATAAAACTCACCATAATATCGTGTGCTTCACGGAAATACTTCAGTGCTTCCTCGTACCGGTTTAAATTATTTAGAAATATACCAATATTCCTAAAACATACAACACTTCAGAAAATAACTGAACATCTGCTCCATTTGATTCAACACCAACTAATCCAAAGTTTAGTGAGCGCTGATTTTTCAGCTTGCCTAGTTCTTTTAAAGGAAACTTCGAAAACCAGACCAATGAAGCTCAGTTCACGCCCACTTTATGGGTGGAGACGGCCAGTACCTGACTGGATGCCCGTACTCCTGACCATTTTAGAAAGGCGAGTGCAGCAATGAGGAAAGCGCAGTGGTTGATTGTTCCTACCAACGTCTCCGTCTATAAGACCAGCGCGCATTGCCCCTTCAGATTCCCCTTATCCCTAGTATGTTTCGGGTATAAAAAGGAGAATAATCAAGCATGAGGAATGAATGCTTTTTAAGTAGAAGGAAAATGAGCACGCAAGCCCCAATTAACCCCACTTACACCTTTGCCCAACCTTGGCCTCTCTACACCTAATCAGTTTCAATAAAGTGCACAAACCTCAAATGAAATGCGATTGCCGGATGATTCTGTGGGAAACAACGTCGAACACAAGTTTCAGAGCGAAGATGTAATCGGAGAAGTTCTTCGTTGTTATCCGGAGCAGTCAGTGGAATAAGATTCTGTAAATATCAGAAATGTCAACGAAGAGCAAATGATTAATACACGAAAATGTAAAAGCTCCCTGAGGCTATGCGGCTCACAGCTTTCATGATGCTCTCATGCACTCTTTTAGCACGATACTGTAATTCAGAAGAAAGTGGGTCATTAGCTCCACTATGCAACAACGCGCGTGAGCGAGTGCTTCCCAGCTGGCTGACTAGAACAACCATGCTGAACCCATTTGAGTTCTGGTGCGAATGCCGCGCACGTGATACCACTTTCAATTCCTTGTTCGCAGATATTGTCGCAAATGTAAAAAAACGTATGTACAGCACACACCACGGGAAAGAGGAGGGCGTATTTACGAGCTATGAGCCTAGCTGCACTGTACAGGTAGCCGTCCGTTCGGCCACAGACAGCATGTGCACAAGAAACTAAAGCTGACTCCGAGAAAGTTGGCACATCCATCCCTTCGTGCAGTAACTGGCAAGTGACCGAAGATATGCAACCGTTGTCGCGCTCACAACTAACCCCGTGGACTCGCTCTCTCCATCTCCGGGGTATAGAGCGTACCCTAGGGTTAACCTCAGCGCAATTCAGACAGCAGGCATTATAGACCGCAAACAGTTCGTTAAAAACACCGAAGCTTGAGTGGATTAGTTAAAAATCTCAAAAATAAAAAAAAAATCATTCCAACAGATATGGGAACCTACCTGAATTAATCTACACAAGTAGATATTGCAACCGGATAAAATTTTTGAAAACCGCTCCAACAGGTCCTCCAGAAATTCCACTCGCGTTTTCTTTGGCATCTAAAACTCCTGAGTGTTGTATTTTCACCGTACAAAATCGGCCATTAGCCATGCGAAGCTACAGTCTTGTTCGTTGCGGATGCTAGGGCGTGTCGGGGGGCTGAGTTTGGCGCGGCGCCAGCCCGTTCCCTACCATTTGCTGTCGCTTGCACGCTTCAACAAGTTAGTAGAGAAGAAGCTAGCGCCGCGCCAAACCCGATCGCCTTGACATGCCCCAGCATCAGCATCGAACAAGACTGCAGGTTATCTTAGTGGTCTACCAGAAAAATACAATTCAAACACCGAAAAAATTGTTACTCACCTGTTCCACCTCCCTATCCTCAATAATCTTATCGATAAATCGCATACCACTCACAGCTTCCATTATGTAGTCCTGTAAGATCAAATTCTGTTACATTTTATTTACCTTATTTTGCCGAGGCAACCATTCCACAAGTCACCACAGATAACAAAAAACACTCACTTTTGAAACTTCGTTTCCACATCTTTCACAGGTTATAACGCCCGATTTTATATTTTTATACGAATGTTCACCAAATATACTGATCTCTGCGCGATTATCCGTCTGGAAGCATCACATTAACATCAAATTGTGAACCGCCAAAAATATGATTACGGTAGCGATACCCGGGTACCGTTTTCTGACTCCACCCGCGTTATCCTGAAGGTGCAGCACTTGCATCAATACGAAAATCTTGCGGGGAACACGCAGTCTGAGGTGGAGAACAACCATAAGTGAGAGGACGCAGACACAAGTAGCGCGTTCGGGTATGATTGGGCGCACGGCTGGCTGTGCGGAAGCGCAGGCGGAGTCAGAAGACGGTACCGGGTAACGATACCTTCCGGCCCTGTTCTGGTGCAGTTCTGGACAAAGAAAATGGCCCATCATCCCAGCTGCGGAAACATTCACCATGCAGGTGTCAAGGATCAGGATCTACGGGGGTGAGTGTACAAGTTTTTCTTTGAAGGGGCAGAACACGCTCCTTGCGTGGACAGAATCGGGTCTTCTCTGTGCCTTCCTCATGGGAATTCCTCTCCTATATTACAAATGAGAGGGCACCAGTGGCACACTGACAGACCTGAGCCCGCCTCCTATGATCAGTGTGCTTTGTATTTTCATGGCTTACTAGCCTTTCGGTGATAGGCAGCGTTAAGACATCGCGACGATGGGTTAAACGTAATAGTGAAATAAAAAGATCTAAAAATCGATCGCAAAACACTTGTAGTTCGGCATATGTGATACGTTACAAAAGAGTAACATTGTTTCATAATACCCAATCACAGTCTGGTACCCTCCCATTCTATGCTCTCCCAGAACACAAGCGGCCGACGCCGATCAATATCGGTCTAATGTTGCGTTCCCGCCCGTAGCATTCTAGCGCGATTACAGACACCCACAGCGCGTCAACGCGCTATTGCGCGCTACAACGCACGTAGCTGCGAAGTCTAAACGCAGCCTTACTTAGCTCATTGAACGATAGCATGACAGTGCTCAGGTTTCTGAGCGGCTGTATGGTCAGCTGCCTGTACTGGTTACCCAAAGCGATTCACCAATCA